GGTGGGTATCGTTGGTTGCAACTTTCGAACAGAAGAGGGCGTAGTCGATCACGTGACCTGGTAATCTGGATTTCTGTTTTCAAGTTTTTAAGGTTAGTTTACCTTACCATCTTGTGGAGGATGTCTTTAACAATGGTTTTTGGAAACTTTGCATAACAATCACAAATGACTTAGAACCGGCAGGCCTTAATCTACTTGAGCAGTTTCACGCCCCCATGCTACTTGATGGTTTACTTATGATTTTATCAGTTTTGATTACAATTTCAGTTTCAGTGAAATTTCAGTTCGTGAAATAGCGAAAATTAGTATAGGTAATAGCATGATTTGTAGTGATATTTGGCATAAATACCACGAGTGATGTTTCAAAATTGTTATACGTAATTTCACGAGCCGTTAGGCGAGTGAAATTTGAGGCAATTTTGAAATATCACGAGTGGTATTTATGCCAAATATCACGTACAAATCATGCTGTTATTTGTTTATACTACTACCCGCAAAAGGTCTGTAATTTTCACATGTAGGTATTTCAAATTAAGCTGAAATACCACTGCTCTAAACCAATCAAATTCCAGAAATTTCTCATGTAGTAGTATAAAGTGACTTATGTTGCAAAATTTACGAAGAAAAGCGTTTGGTTGGGAAAATGTACGACCTGTTTTCTGTAATCATTTAACCGCACAGGGATCCTGGAGTTTGAAAATAACTTTTAACAAACACGGGAAAACAAATGAGACAAATCAATTTATTTTTAAAAGGAGTTGCTCTTTTATTTAAAAATATTTACGAAATTTAACTGATGTTTGTGAAATTTCACGACGCCGCGAATTTTGCGAAGACACCAAAGGCTCATGCATCGCCATAAGTCACCCGGATTGTAGGGCTAGATTGATTCATGGATGACTGCTTTTCCTGACAGGTGCCACTACTCAGGAATATCATAGCAAATCATAGTTTTCTTAAAAACCGGTAAACATTCCCAGCGAGGAATCAATTTTGGGTGGGCAAGTCGTAACATACAAAAAATAGGTCATGGAACAATAAATTGCCGGCGCACATGACCCTTTATTTGTACCGCAAAACTGCGCGTGAATAAATTTCTACAATGCAGTTGTGCAAACCTAAATTTTAATGGCGCTTTGAATTTTAAACAAGGAAAATTCATCTAAACCTGTAGTAAAGAATGATGCAATCGATATTAATAATCTTTCGACTTGTATATTGCTGTACGCCCTAAAAATGTGAAGACTAACTATACATATGTTTTGTTGATTTAATTCCCATATTTTTACATTTTACGATTATTTTTCTACAAATTCATAATGATAAGAAATTTTTCAATGAAATATATTTAAGATTTAATTACAATATCTGGTATTATAATGAGTATTTCTTTCCGCGCTGTGTTTAATTTTAAACAGAACGGTTCAAAAATCCTGGCAGTTAACTATCTTCTCGTTAAAGCTTTCTTGACTTCGAACAGTTTATAGCAATATAAGGATTTTACACTTTCAAAAACTTAACAGAAATTATTTCATATTATCTAGAAGTGTTAGATTTATCACCAAACACCCTATTTAAGTTAACTAGTCGGTCAAGTCCATGTATACCTAAATACCAAGAGAGCGTATATAATCCGTCCACGGCGTCTGGATTTCGTTTGGAGCGTTTCTTGTATCATTCTTTCATCTTTATCTTCCCATAATGTTTCTTGCGCCACCTCCTGCCTTTATTCAAGTGTTTCGCGTTTAACGCGCGTTCACGGTGAATAGCATCGAAGTCAAACACGACCAAGTTCTGCGAGTGTGAACATTCGCCCGCCTTGGCACCCTCAGTGGCTTCGGGCACGAACCGACTTTTCTCTATTTGCGCGTGGCACTTGCAGCTCGAGCAAAGCTTTCCATGAAGACATTTTTCGAATCTCCCACCTGACGACTCCTCGCTCAAAAGCGAAGACATAAAACCGTAAACAATACTGTAATCTCTGCCTGTTTCCTCATTCCAGCCGGCCATTGTTAGAGGACGGTCCAAAGCAGTCGACATCACTGATTTTTCTCTTGGAAGGTAGTAAGCATAAATGCAAAAAACTCAAATGGATTACTTCACAACTGCAACGCCTGTTATATACTTTCTTTTCATCTATACTGTTTTGAGAAAACTGAATAAAGCGCAGCTGACTCATGCGCCTTTGTTTTGAACAGTTGAATGGCAAAAGACCTGTCTATTTTTGTTGAGCACGTGATGGCGTTTGTTATTGGCGAATAATTTTAGCGATTACGTCAGAAAGACAACTAGCGTCCGCGCAGTGTATGGCTAGATTCTAGCACAGGTCAACCAAACCGCTATTTTTTATTCATTTATTTTTGCAGGCGGCAGGTGTTGTTTATCCTGCTCAATTTTCCAGGCGATCTCCACCACCGCAGTCTCCAACCTCCTGGAAAGGGCTAGAGTATAATGCAATGGCAACTAAATTTTAAATTTTCACATGTTGCAAATGCTAATTGAAAAAAAGTGTACATGTATTTGGTTTGGAGTCAGTTGTTTTGGGCCTAAATTTAAATGCGATTTTATCCACCGTCGTTGTTAATAATAGGGATTGCAGCCGTTAAGAATAAGAAGTTACGGCTCCAACCATATTTGGTCGGTAAAAGGCCAAAAACTATGACTCCTAATCTGCGAAATTTAGCTTGTGGCAGTCGCTAAAAATATTCACAATAATGACGGCAAAAAAAAACTCAGCGGTATTTTTAGATTATGGTACCGAAAACGGGGAGTAGGTAACAAAGTTGGAAGATTATTCATCAGGCATTCATTTTAAAAATATTTTACACGCCACTAGAGAATGTTTTCCGCCGAATGTGGCATGTATACGTGGCCGGTAATTTAAAGAAAAAGAATGTAATGTCTACGTTTGCAAACAGTCATGTTAATCTGGCGTTATGTACTTAGACCAAGATGAACGTTGACTTGAATCACTGAATGCAAAAATATTAAAGAAAACATTTTTTATTTTATGATATTTTTTGCCAATGTTTTCGGTTTCTTTTGAAAATGAAAATATCACAAGCAAGCCATTCATTTACACTGGCAAAAATAAAGGTGCTACAGCTTTGTTTTTCACTGTAAGTCTGGGACCTAAAAACCGATTTTTTTTTGTTGTGCAGCTCATTCAGTCTGTCAAACGTGGTATCGAATACTAAAAATAGTTGTGCTAAACACTTGAGTTCCCTGTTCTGGTAGAGGCCTATTTACGCCGAAAAAGAGACCTTTGCTAGCATGCAGGGAAAAACGCGAGAAAATACTACGGAGTCTTCAGTTCTATAATCATCCAAAACAAAAACAGGAAAACGTTTATCTGCGGCAGATGTTTGCTCACATAAGGAGAGAACAGTCGCTATCTGTTTTTAGAGCGCAGTTTTTGTTGATTTGGGTGGTTAACTGACCCACAATCTGGATGTGCCGCGTATTTTTAGCCCGTGTTAACTGGTCCCAGTCAAAACAAGTTGAAAACACCGTACAGGGTCTATTTAATTGGCCAAGCGCAGTCCGGACACTCATCTTGTCCACATCTTGACCGCTCTATACATGGCTCCGTAGAACTCCGTAGCTATATACAGTCCCTTAGTAGTAGATAGTGACTCAGTTCCCCCACTGCGGTTTTAGGATTTTCACTTGATTTATATAAGACAAGTCACAGTTCACTGTTGTGTTATTTAGTATTTTTAAACGGGTTAAATTATCTTCATTAGACGTTTACCGGCCTATCAAAAATAATGAACGACGACGTCCAATCCCATTTTTTCCCCGCTGGAATTTGACGTCTAACCGCTTAATCGTTGAAAACTTTGGGCAAGAAAGGCGATGAAAGGTAATTTGGAAAATGCTAACAAATACCTATTAAATTAAAGGTGCAAAGTAGAAGGATTAGTTCGTACAGAAACTGTGGTGGTGCGACGATGTGCGAGCCCGGGAGGGGGGGCACTTCTGGGAATTCTTGTTGGGGGTGTGCCGCCCGGTTCTCCAAATCCTGACCCTATTTCAGACCAAAAAATGTAATTTTCCACACCCGTTTTCAGCCCAGACCTCTAAAATCCATTCCCGTTCTCAGACCTCGCCTTTACTTAGGCAGAAATTATGTCATCATTACTTAGATTAGAGCGAAAACAAAACAATTCTTCAAATCCATTTCGAATTTGCATATTTCCCTTTCTTTCTTTGAAACTGAAACGATAAATACGTTCACACACTCCCGTAGTTCCCTCGAAAACCATACCCGATTCTAGACCATAATGGGTAAAGTGTATACCCGTTTTCAGACCAAAACGGCACAAAAAACCTCACCCGATGGGGCGGTACATACCTATGTAGCTTGTATAAGAGAGTACCCGGGTGAGAGAGTCAGCCTGACGAGAAAACAACCAACCTCTCGCGACGCCACCACTGGTTTCGCCGCCAAATGACGTCTGAGAAACGAGCGCAGAAATTCCATACTGATGACGCGTCACTACTCAGATCTGGGTAGTGCTTCTGATTGTTTGTTTTTTTTTTCAACCAATCAGAAGCACTACCTAGATCTGGGAGGTGACGGGTCATCAGTATGGACTGCGCTCGTTTCAACACAGAAAACTGTTCTGTGACCAAGAGAGATGATTACGTCATCATGCTGAATAAAAAGGAAATGTATTCAAATCAACCGGGAGAGAAAAAAAAAAACACGATTCAGGAAAATTATTCAGAAAGACAGGGTAGGGCGGTGGATTTGAAAAAAAAATCTGGAAAATTCTCGTCCTCCGGGTTTTTACCTCATGCGAAAACGGGAGAAGTTGGCATCGATTATGGTTGGAACTAAAGTGGTATGTGATCGTCTTCGATCCTGTAACCTTAGTTCTTGATTAATGAAAGCGTTCTCGACAAATGATTTCGCAATAGTTCGTCCTTCGTAAATCCAAGAATTTCACCTCTGACAACGAAATACAAGTCTAACATATGAAACAAGTCTAACATATGAAACGTGTTCCGCCTGAGATATTCCCTAGCTCTAATCCATGGGGGCTGAGTTAGTTAATGTTGACCACAAAATTGGCTTTCCATCGTGTTATCCACCAATATTTGTAATCTGATAAGTCGGTATACACTTAAACACTTCTGCCGCCAGAACGAATGTTTTGACTGTATGGGTAAAGGCATGTTTGATAACTCATTGTTATAAAACCGTGAGATGCAAGACGTGCAGCGCAATAAAACTTGGTGAACAAAATTCAAAAGCTAAGCCTGTGACGTCACTGAACTACCAGTGAAAATCCGATTTCACAGAATTTATTAACACTGAAAAACTGTCACGCTTAAAAGAACCTTATTAGTGATTTTGACCAACACTCATTTTACAAATGTAAATAAGTAAAATTCTGCCAAAAAAACGGCTACTCACCTGTGAGCAAATATAAGGTACGTCGACAATATCGCGGTAAAAAGGTGATAAGTGAGCTCGGCATTTTTTGGCGCCAAATATCATGAAGCTAAGCCGAACAACATGACTTACAATACAAGTCATAACAGTCAATGGAGTGAAACTCACAGTAGCAGGATTTCACGAGCTAAACGGAACTCTGAAGTTCCGACCTTTTTGTTAGCATTGGAGATGCTGTAAAGATTTTAAAACGCAACATGGCCGTAATAAAGATAACGTGCCAGGGTTTGCAGGTGTGCTCTACTTACACTACTTCAACTCTACTAAAAGCAAATATCAGGAAGTTACAAATAGATTCACTAAACCCTTGGGTTTCAAAAGCTTCTGAGCTTTCTGAAGAGCGTTCAAGAAGCAAAAAGCGACTTCTTTTAGTTATCTAATTGATTATCGATAAATAAGAGGAGGGCGGTGTCAACAAAGAGGACCGAACTTAACCTTCTCAAAAGTAACAGAATAAGTCGAGTCACCGCCGACTCATGGTCATGCAAAAAGCAATTAGGCTGCTCACTGATTTCATTTCAGTGCAGCTCTCCAAAAACAAAATTTCCGAGCTTTTTTGGACAGTTCATTAAACTGTCCAAGGCTAGTGACAGCTAGCAGCTTTCAGCATTACACTTGTTTTCTTAAAACCTTGCGGGGTGCAAACTGAGACAAACTGTCTAAATTAATTGGAAAGTATGAGAACCCTATTATATTAAAAGGAAATTTGTTAAGGAACAATGATATCAGCTTACGCAGAACTCAATTTTTTGGCGATAGAGAGATGGACAAATCCATGTAGCATATTTAAGCAGTCCCTACAGAGGAATAAGGCTAATTTAGGGATATCATGCTACTTATCCAATCAAATTACGGAACACATAAGGGTATCTTTTTACCTGTATGAATGTGGGCGCACATTATAAAGCTGAGGAATTTTACCTTCTCTTGAAAACCAGCAGAAAGCAAATATCAATTTTTCCCATGCATGCAATCCAGACACTTATCTCTATCAATGATATGAACATATTGGCGTGCCTACTAAAAAGAATCGCAAGAAAATAAACGTGATTTTGGTAATAAGAAGCTCAGCCAAAAACGTGATCTCCAATATTTGTTTATGATCATCAGATTTTGATCTGCAGTTGTCCCGTCTTTATTAACTCTCTTCATTAACGTCTCTAACTTTTGAGTCTGTGGACCAAATCCTATGATGTGACCATTCAAATGAAACCTCTCTTCCTGTACTTTCACATGATGCTATTTGTTTTTCAAAATTTTAGAAAATGAAATTTGGAAATTTGGTCGAAATTTGCCTTTGGCCACATTTGGTAGTGAAAGGGTTAAGCATTCAAGTACTAGTGAAACTAGCCTCTTCTCAACGATAGTTGTACTGGTTCGGTTTAAACTGAAATTTTTAAGACACCCTTGTAACAGTGAATACTGATCTTGCTAAAGCAACCACCCAGCACCTTTTCCTGGGATCAGCTGCTGTTTGCAAAAGCCGCACTGTAAATAAAAAAGGTCTGTTTTGGCCCTTAAAAGGGGCGAGTATAATACAGTGCGGTACTTTTTCCGGGTCTATCGGGCGCCCTTAATTATGGTCACTGTACATTCCTGATCCTAGGCCTGTTTTGGATCCACGGGTCGAAATGAGTGCAAGAGTGGGCTGAAGTAGGCATTTGATATGGCTGTTTTGGCTTAAACGGCGCTCAGATGGCTGAAGGAAACAGACCTCTTTAATTTACAGTGCTTTCAGGAAAGTTGGAAACTGGCTGTTTCACATTAAGAGCACACTGGTAAATTACTCGGTAATTGGAAGGCACGCCACTCATGGAAAATAACATGTTGAATGAAATTTATTGGCAATTACACCAGCATACTTCAGGCTGGCAAAATATCAACTTTTTGCTAAGAGTATTAATATAGCTAAAACAGTCCACTTTTCCACTTTCCGCAAAAACAAGTCTAAGAAATGCGGGAAAACAACTTGATCTCTAACCACACGCACGCTATAGTAGTAAATACAGTAACCCTATCTTACGATTTTGCTCAATTAATATTTCATTTTATATTTGGTTCAGGTCCACATAAACGATTTTATAAAGAAGCCCTGGGCATGTTTAATGCAGGCAATATACCCAATTGGGACAAACTTCTCATTAATCAGTCTAGTAGAGTTCACAAGTATTTTACTCCGGACCTGTTATTTCTTGAATGATTTCCAGGAGTATGTGATTAAAACAAGTTTTACATTCTACAGAAGTCTGAGAAGTAAACACACTGTTTTAACTGAGAAACATTAACCTTGCAATGACTGAAAATGCATGAACTCTGTTTTAACATACCCCTAGGCTGCGAATAAGCTTCTTTATTGTTACGAGAGTCAAATTTCCAGTGAGATTGTACTGCTTATCCGATCAAATTCTCCGCTCTAGAAGCATCAAAGCTTACTTTAATTAGTAGAACAAATTCCACTGGCTTAAGAGAAAATAACCGAAAGATCAAGAGTCGTTTACACAGAAAAAATCAAATAGGAGGCCTCTGCCTACACTTCCCTGATGATTTTAATTCAACGAGATTCAGTCCTTTTTTAAAGATTTGTTAAATAACATTTATAGCCGCATGGAAAACTGGATTACCTAAAAAGGGAACTTGTCTTAAATATTTAAGTTATTTAGCACTCGCACGTCAAACAGCGCCCACACGAAGGGGCTTAGCATGCATGATCGCAAGATATTTTTCATAAATCCGCAGATTAACACTTTAATGATTTTCGGGGAAATAACACCAGTATTTTTTTGAAACAGTTAGCGCAAGTTACGGAGATCGAACCAGCATTAATTCAAAAAATGTTTAATAACTGCATGAATACGAGAAGTATTCACTTGAGAGTCATTGAGCAATATCACATTCCATTAATGCACCGACGTCTAAAAAGGGAAGGGAAAAAAGGGCGAAGAGATAACAAAAGGCAAACAGAGCAAGAAATTTACTAAGAAAACATTTTTCTTCGTTTGCTCGGATTAGGACCAAATACGGTTCAGCTTGGAGCACACCGAATCGAGTTCTTAGGTGCTAAAAGAGGAAGGAAAACGATCAAATACACAAAACGAATATTCAACACATTTGTTTTTCATTATTTTATTTTCCAAAAATGTACTTTTCAGATCTCAGCAAGGGTCGTTTTTAGTGAAATCCTACCATTTTTTGATTAATGGCACGCTTCACGTGAAGCACGTGTCACGGGGCTGTAAACACGCAATGTGCCGTAAATAACATTCATTTGCATTCACTTGGGGGCGGGGAAGGGGGAGAGGTCACAGCAAAACTGAACAGATAAACAACTCTTCTAATCCTGGTTTGATACATTTCTTCACATCGAAGATAACTTTGATTTCAATGTACATGGTTCCGTTTTGATAATGTTGTATTATAAGAGTTCTTGAAGCGTAAATAAACGTGTAATATATATTTTCAAGAACGCGTAATAACTCACTGACTGATGATCTTAAATGACAGTGAAAATGTTTCCATTTCGTTTTCTTGAGCATCGTCGTGTACACCTGACTGCGCTAAATCGATTGAAAAATCAAACAGTTGTCATCTATTCTACCGCTCTCTTGTCTTTTTTCCTTTTCCTGTTCTGGCACTCAGGCACAACCAATCCTGACAGTTCCTTCTCGTTTGATCTACAGTGTGGTTGATATGCAATATAACCGCTTTCACGGCGAGATCACATTCACCGGCGTTTGACAGAGCGACTCAATACGTTTATTAAATCCGTAGATTCAAACATAAGGCTATCTCGGCCATCATATGAGTGTTGATTAGAAGGATCCAGTAGAAGTCTTTGCGTGTCTTTTATAACGATATCGCCTTCCATCCTCTACTGGCAGTCCAGGAGTACCACAACTCAAAGCTCGTTCTTCGTGAACGGTAGCCAAGTCTTTGTTTAACTTCATCTTTACATTCTCTAATTGTGTTTCGAACAGTTCGTTCTCTTGAATATCCTCGAGACTTGGGACAAAGCGAAACTTTGGGTACTTCCGCCGCTTTTTGAACCGATGACGGTTACGTTTTGGGCTTTGCATCATACTTCGATCTATGGCCACTAGATCTTCGTGGAGATCCCAGGTTATTTTGTGGCCATACTTGAAGTCGAAATCATAAACTTTTCCCACGCTTAGTTCCATCATGGTCAACGGCTTTTCATCCTGTATGTGTGTCGACGAGTCATCACAATGAAATGTTCCTCGTTGGCGCATGATTTCAACGATGTTTTCGCTCAATCCTTCTGAAAACCAGTTTTAAGAACAAAAAGACTGTTGTAGAATAACTACTGCCGCTGCGAGACAATAATTTGACGGTTTCTCTGTTTCTTTCTCAAAACAAGCTCCTTCTACTTCAATTGCACTTGAACAACTGATGCAAGGCGATGATTCGATTGCTTTTTGCACTCAAAGCAAAAAACCAGTATCAACAAAGGCTATTTTAGGTAAGTGACACCAACGCCCAATCATGAATGTCATGCGTGCGTAATATTGAGCGTCTTAAAATTCTTGAATACATTATTTCGAATTATTGACTAAAAGTTAATTCAAAAGCTTGTCAACTTGCTATCGCGTGGCTGAAAAAAAATTATAGGAGGTGTTTTAGCTAGCGTACTGTTTTTGAAGAAGAAAAACCTCGGAATTTAAAGTGTACACTTTTTATGATAACGCAAAGTAAACACGAAGGAAAAAAACAACAAATTCTAGAAATCATGTTGTGTACGTCAAGAGGTTTCGTTTCATCGGACGCACAAGAAGTTGTGTTGTTCTTTCTTCACACAAAGCGGCTGACCCTAGCATAATTAATGGCTTTACAAGTTCGTAAATTACAAGAGAAAGGAAAACGCCCACTCCGCGAAAGTAACTGTGAAGTTTTTTTACTTTCTAGTTTCCCTATCTCCAGAACCATATCAAAACTTTTCCAGTTTCCCTTATTTTGACGGTTTATTTACAATCCTCTATTTCCCCAGTTTACAATACAACAGGAATGGCTACAAAATAAGTGGATGTAACATCAAGGAAGTATAGATCAATAGCATAAGAATATCGGTTTTTTTTCACGTTGTGGCCTTTCAGTTTCGAGAGCATAGTACGTCCTTTTCAAGTGGATCACGTTATTTGACGGAATTATGATGGTAACGTGGGGGGGGGGGGGGGGGGGGGGGGGGGGGGTTTTTTTTTCTGCGGGTCACAAAGGAAAAATGGGGGGGGCGGGGTGTGTTTGGGTTTTTCCACTACCTTGTAATGTGGAAAAAATGCTGTGAAAAGACGCAAAAGGGTAGTTCATGGCTAAGGTCTGTTTGTTGTGTGCA